AAGCCAAGTTTTCTTGAATTAATATATTTTCTCTAATTTTTTTCTTATGAAATGATAAAGCTACCCATTTCATTATGTATGAGGGCATATTTTTTTTATTGGAGTTAAAATTAACGTAGATATATGACCAAACCTAACCAACCCTACCTAACCTAACCTAACCTAACCTATCTTTATAGGTTAGGTTCGGTTTGGTAGCAGAAAAAGTTAGGTTAGGTTAGGTTAGGTAGGTTAGGTAGTCGAAAAAACATTAATTCATGAAAACTTGGCTTATTAGGCAAATCAGGCCTTGCATTCTAGGCTGAGAAGTGCGTTCTGGCTACTAGGTACGACATATATATATATATATATATATATATATATATATATATATATATATATATATATATATATATATATATATATATATATATATATATATATATATATGACAATGTCAGACCACGGAAGAAAAATGAAACAGGAATTTCCTTAAGAACTTTCGTATATTAATACATCTTCAGAAGGAGTGACTCCTTCTGAAGATGTATTAATATACGAAAGTACTTAAGGAAATCCCTGTTTCATTTTTCCTCCGTGGTCTGACATTGTCACATTTTTAATCACGTGTTTATTTTCGTTATATACACACACACACACACATATATATATATATATATATATATATATATATATATATATATATATATATATATATATATATATATATATATATATATATATATATATATATATATATATATATATATATATATATATATATATATATATATATATATATATATATATATATATATATATATATATGTGTGTGTGTATATAAAGTTAAAGTTTATATATGTGTATATAAAGTTAATGGATAGTAAACAATGTCTGTGTTTACCCCATCACCAAGGCCATCAGTGTCCACCTCACTCGTCGTGACCTGCATCATGGCATCCAACCTCGACACATCGTTTATTTTACCACTTGCGTCCATCCTAGTTCCGGTGGGACGGGGATGGACAACCTCAACCCCGTGTCCACATCCGTCCAAACATCCACACCAAACACGGCTATTACACCCGTCCCAGCGTCCTCGCTCAACCCCGTGTCCAAACTCATTCAAGTGTCCACACTCATCCCAGCGTCCACGCTTATCCCAGCGTCCACACTCATCCCAGCGTCCACACTCATCCCAGTGTCCACACTCATCACAGCGTACACACTTATCCCAGCGTCCACACTCATCCCAGTGTCCACACTCATCACAGCGTACACACTTATCCCAGCGTCCACACTCATCCCAGCGTCCACACTCATCCCAGTGTCCACACTCACCCCAGTGTTCACACTCATTCTAGCGTCCACACTCATCCTAGTGTCCACACTCATCCCAGCGTCCACATTCATCCCAGTGTCCACACTTATCCCACCGTCCACACTCATCCCAGTGTCCTCACTCACCTCAGCGTCCACACTCATGCCAGCGTCCACACTCATCCCAGCGTCCACACTCATCCTAGTGTCCTCACTCATCACAGTTTCCACACTCATCCTAGTGATCTTTCTGACCCCAGTGTCTTCAATCATCCCAGCACCCTCACTCATCCCAGTGTCCAGACTCATTCTAGCGTCCTCACTCATCCCAGTGTACCACACTCATCCCAGTGTCCACACTCATCCCCTTGTCCACACTCATCCCTCTGTCCTCACTCATTCCAGCGTCCACACTCATCCCAGTGTCCACACTCATCCCAGCGTCCACACTCATCCCAGCGTCCACACTCATCCCAGCGTCCACACTCAACCCAGAGTCCATACTCATCCCAGCGTCCATACTTATTCCAGCGTCCACACTCATCCCAGCGTCCACACTCATCCCAGCGTCCACACTCAACCCAGAGTCCATACTCATCCCAGCGTCCATACTTATTCCAGCGTCCACGGTCATCCCAGCGTCCACAGTCATCCCAGTGTCCACACTCATCCCAGTCTCCAAACTCATGCCAGTGTCCACACTCATCCCAGTGTTCACACTAATCCCACCGTACACACTCATCACAGTGTCCACACTCATTCCGACGTCCATACTTATCCCAATGTCCACACTCATTCCAGTGTCCTCACTCATCCAAGCATCCACACACATCCCAGTGTAAACACTCATCGCAGAGTCCTCACTCATCCCGGCGTCCTATCTCATCAAAGCGTCCACACTCATCCCAGTGCCCTCACTCATCCCAGGGTCACACTCATTCCAGTGTTCTCACTCATCCCAGCGTCCACACTCATCCCAGCGTCCACACTCATCCCAGCGTCAACACTCATCCAAGTGTCGTCAATCATCCAAGCATCCACACTCGTCCCAGCGTCCACACTCACCCCAATATCCTCACTCATCCCAGTGTCCTCACTCATCCCAGAGCCCACAATCATCCCAGTGTCCACACTCATCCCAGCGTCCACACTCATCACAGTTTCCACACTCATCACAGTTTCCACACTCATCCCAGTGTCCTCACTCATCCAAGTGTCCACACTCATCCAAGCGTCCACATTCATCCCAGTGTCCACACTCATCGCAGCGTCCACACTCATCCTAGCGTCAACACTCATCCCAGCGTCCACACTCATCCCAGCGTCCTCACTCATCCCAGTGTACCACACTCATCCCCCTGTCGACATTCATCCAAGTCTCCACACTCATCCAAGTGTCCACACTCATTCCAGCATCCACACTCATCCCAGTGTCCACACGCATCCCAGTATCCACACTCATCCCAGCCTCCACACTCATTCCAGTGTTCTCACTAATCCCAGTGTCCACACTCATCCCAGTGTCCATACTCATTACAGCATCCAGACTCATCCCAGTGTCCATACTCATCCCACTGTCCACACTCATTTTAGCGTCCTCACTCATCTCAGCGTCCACTCTCATCCCATTGTCCTCACTTATCCCAGCGCCCAAACTCATCCCTTGCGTCATCATTCATCCTAGCGTTCACACTAACCCGGTGTGACACTCATCTGGAATATGTTTGACTCATCCCAGCGTCCGCACTCATCCCAGTGTTTACACTCATCCCTACGTCCATTCTCATTCCATTGTCCTTACTCATGCCTGTGTCCAAACTCATCCAGGTGTCCACACTCATCCCAGTGTCCACACTCATCCCAGTGTCCACACTCATCCCAGTGTTCATACTGATCCCAGTGTCCATACTCATCCCAGTGTCCTCATTCAACCCAATGTTCACACTCATCCCTACGTTCACACTCATCCTAGTGTACTCACTCATCCCAGTGTCCTCACTCATCCCAGAGTCCAGTGTTCTCACTCATCCCAGTGTCCACACTCATCCCAGCGTCCTCATGCATCCCACTGTCCTCACTAATCCCAGAATCCATACTCATTCCAGCGTCCTCACTCATCCCAGTGTCCACACTCAGCCCATCGTCCAAACTCATCCTACCGTCCACACTCATCCCCAGTGTCCTCACTCATCCCAGTGTCAACATTCATCCTTGTGTCCACACTCATCTCAGTGTCAATACTCATCCCAGTTTCCTCACTCATCTCAGTGTCCTCACTCATCCCAGAGTCCAAACCCATTCCAACGCCGACACTCATCCCAGTGTCCTAACTCATCCCAGTGCCTTCACTCATCCCAGTGTCCTCACTCATCCCAGTCACCTCACTCATCCCAGTGTTCTCACTCATCCCAGTGTTCTCACTCATCTCAGTGTCCACACTCATTTCAGCGTCCACACTCATCCGAACGACCGCTCTCATCCCAGTGTCCTCACTCATCCCAGCGTCCTCACTCATCCCAGTGTCCTCACTCATCCCAGTGTCCTCACTCATCCCAGTGTCCTCACTCATCCCAGTGCCCTCACTCATCTCAGTGTCCTCACTCATCCCAGCGTCCTCACTAAGCTCAGTTTCATAACTCATTCCAGCGTCCAAACACATTCCAGCTTTCTCTCTCATCCCAGTGTCTTCACTCATCCCAGTGTCCTCACTCATCCCAGTGTCCTCACTCATCATAGCTTCCTCACTCATCCCAGTGTCCTTTCTCATCCAAGTGTCTACACTTATTAAATCTCTTACACTCATCTCAGTGTCCTCACTCTTCCCAGCGTCCAAACTCATCCACGCGTCCACACTCATCCCAGTGTTCTAACTCATCACAGTGTCCTCATTCATCCCCGTGTCCTCACAAATCCCAGTGTCCACACTCATCCCAGAGTCCACATTCATCTCAGTATCCTCACTCATCCCAGTGTCTACAGTAATCCCATCGTCCACACTCATCCCAGTGTCCACACTCATCCCAGTGTCCAAACTCATCCCAGTGCCCATACTCATCCCCGTGTTCTCACTCATCCCAGTGTCCACACTCATCCCTACATCTACGCTCATCCTAGTGTACTCACTCATCCCAGTGTCCTCACTCATCCCAGAGTCCACACTCATCCCAGAGTCCACATTCATCTCAGTATCCTCACTCATCCCAGTGTCTACAGTAATCCCATCGTCCACACTCATCCCAGTGTCTTCACTCATCTCAGTGCCCTCACTCATCCAAGCGTCCTCACTCACCCTAGCGTCGAGACTCATCCCAGCGTCCACACACATCCCATCGTCCTCACTCATCTCACCGTCCATACTCATCCCAGCGTCAATATTCACCCAGTGTCCTCACTGACCCCAGCTTCCGCAGTGAAAACACTGGGATGAGTGTGGACGCTGAGATGAGTGAGTACCTTGGGATGAATGAGGACGCTGGTGTGAGTGAGGACACTGGGATGAGTGTGGGGGCTGGGATAAGTTTGGGATGAGTGTGATCCCAGCGTCTACACTCATACCCGCCCTCGCACTCATCCCAGTGTCCTCACTCACACCAGCGTCCTCATCCATCCCAGGGTCCTCACTCATCTCAACGTCCACACTCATCCCAGTGTTCTCACTCAACCCACCCAGTGCCTTCTCTCATCCCAGTGACTCTCTCATTTCATCGTCCACACTCATACCAGTGTCCACTTATCCCAGCGTCCTCACTCATCCTAGTGTTTTCACTCATCCCAGCGTCCACACTTATCCTAGCGTCCTCACTCATCTCAGCGTTCTCACTCAACCCATCGTCCTCACTCATCCTTAAGTACTCACTCATCCCAGTGTCTACGCTCATCCCAGAATCCACACTTATCCCAGTTTCTTCACTCATACCAGTGTCCACACACCTCCTAGTGTCCTTACTCATCCCAGCGTCCTCACTCATCCCAGCGTCCTCACTTATCCCAGTATCCACACTCATCCCAGTGTCCACACTCATCCCAGAGTCCACACTCATTCCAGAGTCCTTACTCATCACAGTGTTCAAACGCATCCCAGTGTCTACGCTCATCCCAGCGTCCTCACTAATCCCAGTGCCCACACTCAACCCACCGTCCACCCTCATCCTACCGTCCACACTCATGCTAGCGTCCACATTCATAACAGTGTCCTCACTCATCCCAGTGTCCACACTCATCCCAGAGTCCACGCTCATCCCAATGTCCGCACTCATAACAGCGTCCTCACTCATCCCAGAGTCCACACTCATCCCAGTGTCCTCACTCATCCCAGAGTCCACACTCATCCCAGTGTCTTCACTCATCCCAGAGTCCACACTCATCCCAGTGTCTTCACTCATCCCAGCTTCCACAGTTATCCCAGCGTCCTCACTCATCTCAGCGTTCTCACTCAACCCATCGTCCTCACTCATCATAGAGTACTCACTCATCCCAGTGTCTACACTCATCCCAGCATTCACACTTATCCCAGTGTCTTCACTCATATCAGTGTCTTCACTTATACCAGTGTCCACGCTCATTCCAGCGTCCTCACTCATCCCAGTGTCCACACCCAACCCACCGTCCACACTCATCCCAACGTCCACACTCATCCCAGTGTTCACACTGACCCCAGTGTCTTCTCTCATCCCAGTGACTCATCTAATCGTCCACACTCATCTTAGCGTCCAATTATCCCAGAGTCCTCACTCATCCCAGTGTCTTCACTCATCCCAGCGTCTACACTCTTCCCAGCGTCCTCACTGCTCCTTGAGTACTCACTCATCTCAGTGTCCACACTCATCCCAGCATCCACACCTTTCCCAGTGTCTTCACTCATACTAGTGTCCACACTCCTCTCAGTGTCCTGACTCATCCCAGTGTCCACACTCATCCCAGTGTTCACACTCAACCCACCGTCCACACTCATGATAGCGTCCACACTCATAACAGTGTCCTCACTCATCCCAGTGTCCACACTCATCCCTACATCCACACTCTCCTAGTATACTCACTCATCTTAGAGTCAAAACTCATTCCAACGCTTACACTCATCCCAGTGTTCTAACTCATCCCAGTATCCTCACTCATCCCAGTGTCTTCACTCATCCCACTGTCCTCACTCTTCTCAGTGTCCACACTCATCCCCGTGTTTACACTCATCCCAGTGTCTTCACTCATCCCACTGTCCTCACTCTTCTCAGTGTCCACACTCATCCCCGTGTTTACACTCATCCCAGTGTCTTCACTCATCCCAACGTCCACACTCATTCAAGCGTCCACACTCATCGCATCGTCCTCACTCATCCCAACGTCCTCACTCATCCTAGTGTCCTCAGTCATCCCAGTGTTTACACTCACCCCAACGTCCACACTTATCCCAGTGACCTAACTCATCACAGTGTTCACACGTATCCCAGTGTCCCCACTCATACAAGTATCACCTCTCAGCTTATCTTCCTTACTAATCCCAGTGTTCTCACTCATTCCAGCGTCCAAACACATTCCAGCTTTCTCACTCATCCCAGTGACCTTACTCATCCAGTGTCCTCACTCATCCCAGAGTCCTTACTTATTATAGCGTCCTCACTCATCCCAGTGTCCTCTCTCATTCCAGTGTCCACACTTATCCCTACGTCCACAGTCATTCCAATGTCCAAGCTCACTCATCCCAGTGTCCTCACTCATCCCAGCGTCCAAGCTCATCTACGCATCCACACTTATCCCAGTGTTCTAACTCATCCCAGTGTCCTCACTCATCCCCGTGTCCTCACTAATCCCAATGTCCACACTCATCCCAGCGTCCACACTCATCCCAGTGTCCTCACACATCCCAGTGTCCACAGTAATCCCAGCGTCCACACTCACCCCAGTGTCTTCACTCACCCCAGTGCCTTCACTCATCCAAGCGTCCTCACTCATCCCAGCGTCTACACACATCCCAGCTTCCTCACTCATCCTAGCATCATCTCTCATCCCAATGTCCTTACTTATCGCAGTGTCGACACTCATCCCACCGTCCACACTCATCCTAATGTCCACACTCATCCCACCGTCCACACTCAATCCAGTGTCCTCACTCATCCCAGCGTTTAGACTCATCCCTGCATCCACTCTCATTCCTGTATCCTCACTCATCCCAGTGTCCACACTAACCCCAGGGTCCTCATTTATATCAGCGTCCTCACTCATCCCAGCGTCCTCTCTCATCCCAGTATCCACACTTATCCCAGTGTAACACTCATCCCTTTGTCCTTACTCATCCTAGTGTCCTCACTCATCCCAGTGTCCACACTCATTCCACAGCCCAAACTCATCCTAGTGATCTAACTCATCCCAGTGCGCACATTTTTCCTAGTGTCAACACTTATTCCAGCGTCCACACTCATCCCAGCGTCCACACTCATCTCAGTGTCCTCACTCATCCCAGTATCTTTACTCATCCCAGTGTCCTCACTTATCCCAGTTTCTTCACTCATCCCAGCATCCACACTAATCACAGTGTCATCACTCATCCCAATGTCCTTAATTTTCCTGCGTCCACACTTATCCAAGAATCCAAACTGATCCCAATGTCCTCACTCATCCCATCGTCCTCACTCATCCCAGCGTCCACACTTATCCAAGTGTCCACACTCATCCAAGCATTCACACTCATCAAAGTATCCTCACTCATATCCCAGTGTCCATACTGATACCAGCCTGCTCACTCATCCCAGTGTCCTCACTCATCCCAGCATCCTCACTCTTCCCAATGTCTTCACTCATCCCAGTGTCCACTCCTTTCTCTGCGTCCCCACTCACCCCAGCGTCCACACTCTTCCCAGCATCATCACTCATCCCAGTGTCCTCACTCACCCCAGCGTCCTCATTCATTCCACTGTCCTCACTTATCGCAGTGACCACACTCATCCCAGCTTCCTCACTCATTCCATTTTCCACACTTGTCCCAGGGTCCTCACTCATTCCAGCGTCTAGCCTCATCCCAATGCCCTCACTCATCCCAGCGTCCACACTCATCCCAGTATCTTCACTCATCCCAGTGTCCTAATTTATCCCAATATCTACACTCACCCCAGCGTCTTCATTCATCCCAGTTTCCTCACTCATCCTAGCGTCCACACTCATCCCAGTGTTCTCACTCACCCCAGTGTCTTCCCTCATTCCAGGGACTCTCAGCGTCCACAGTCGTCCCATTGTCCACTTATCCCAGCGTCTCCACACATCCCAGTGTCTTAACTCATCCCAGTCTCCACATTCATCCCAGAGTCCCCAATCATTGCAGTGTCCTGACTCATCCTAGTGTCAACATTCATCCCAGCGTCCTTGATCACTCATCACTACGTCCTCGCTCATCCCAGAGTACTCGCACACCCCAGGGTCCACACTCATCCCAGCGTCCACACTCATCCCAGCGTCCTCACTTATCCCAGCGTCCACACTTATCCCAGTGTCCACACTCATTTCAGTGTCCTCACTCATCTTTGTGTCCTCACTCATCCCATCGTCCACATTCATTCCATCGTCCACACTCATTCCAGCGTCCACACTCATCCCAGAGTTCACACTCATCCCAGTGTTCTCATCCACCGCAGTGTCCTTACTCATCCCAGCGTCTTTACTCATCATAGTGTCCACACTCATTTCCAGCGTCCTCACACATCCAGGCGTCCACACTCGTCCCGGCGTCCTCACTCATCCCAGTGTCCTCACTGCTGCCAGTGTCCACACTCTTCCTAGTGTCCTCACTCATACCAGTGTTCTCACTCATCCCAGTGTCCTCACTCATCCAAGCGTCCATACTCTTCCCAGTGTCCTAACTCATCCCCGTTTTAACACTCATTCCTATGTTTTGAATAATCAGGACGCTGGAATGCGTCTTCACTCGTCCCAGCATCCCCAGTCATCCCAGTGTCCTCACTCATCCCAGTCTCCACACTTATCCCAGTGCTCTCACTCATCCCAGTGCCCTCATTCATTCCCGTTTTAACACTCATCCCAGTGTTTTGAATAATCAGGACGCTGGGATGTGTCTTCACTCATCCCAGCATCCACAGTCATCCCAGTGTCCTCACTCATCCCAGTCTCCACACTCATCCCAGTGCCCTCACTCATCCCAGTGCCCTCACTCATCCCAACGTCCCAAACTCATCCTAGTGTCCACACTCGTGACAGTGTCCTCACTCATACCAGCGTCCTCACTCCTCCTCCTAGTGTCCTTACTCACCCCAGTGTTTTGACTCATCCCTAGGTCCACTCTCATTTCAGTGTCCTCACTCTTCACAGTGTTCACATGTATCCCAGCGTCCTCATTCATCCTAGTGTCCACACTCATCTCAACGCCTTCACGCATCCCTGTGTCCACAATCATCCCAGCGTCCTCACCAAACCCAGCGTCCACACTCATCCCAACATACTCTCTCATTCCTTTGGCCTAACTCACCCCAGCTTCCTAATTCATCCCAGTGTCCCTATTCTTCCCAGCTTCCTCACTCATCCCAGCGCCCACACTCATGCCAGCGTCCTCACTAATCCTAGCGTCTACACTCATCCCAACCTCCTAATTCATCCCTGTGTCCATACTCATCCCAGTCTCCTCATTCATCCAAGCGTCCTCACCAATCCTAGTGTTTTCACTCGTCCCAGTGTCCACGCTCATCTCAGTGTCCTCACTCATCGCTGTGTCAACTATAATCCCAGCGTCCACTTATCTTAGCGTCCACACTCATTCCGGCGTCCAAACTCATCCCAGTGTCCTTACTTATCCCAGTGTGATCACTCATCCTAGTGTCCACACTCATTCCAACGTCCACACTCATCCCAGTGTCCTCACTCATCCCATTGTCCATACTCATCCCTACGTCCACACTCATTCCAGTGTCCTTACTCATCCCAGTGTCCACACTATTCCCAGTGCCCTCACTCGCCCCAGCGTCCTCACTCACCCTAGCGTCGAGACATCCCAGCGTCCACACACATCCCAGCGTACTCACTCATCTTAGCGTCCACACCCATCTCAGTGTCTACACTCATCCTAATTTCCACACTCACCCCAGCATAATGATTCGTCCCATTGTCCTCACTCATCCCACCGTCAACACTCATCCCAGAATTCTCACTAATCCCAGCGTCCACACTCATCCCAATGTCCACACTTATCCCAGCGTTCTCACTCATCCCAGCGTCAACATTCATCCCAGTGTCCACTTATCCCAGCGTCCTCACTCATCCCAGTGTCTTCACTCACACAAGCGTCCACACTCATCCCAGCATCCTCACTCATCCCAGTCCACACATTGATAACAGAGCCCACACTCATTGCAGTGTCCTCACCCATCCCAGTGTCCACATTCACCCCAGCGTCCTTGATCACTCATTCAATCGTCCTCACTCATCCTAGAGTACTCACTCATCCCAGTGTTCACACTCATTCCAGCGTCCTCACTCATCCCAGGGTCCACACTCATCCCAGTGTCCACCATCAACTCAGTGTCCTCACTCTTCCCAGTGTCCTTACTCATCCCAGCGTCTACATTCATTCCACTGTCCACACTCATATCAGTGTCCTTACTGATTCCCGCGTCCATACTCATCCCAGCGTTCACACTCATCC